TGGTAGCTGACACTGGTAGCTGACACTGGTAGCTGACACTGGTAGGGTCAACAGGAAGGGTGGTGGAGTAGCGATGTATGTCAGAGACAATTTAAATTGTTGTGTTAGACAAGATATAAAAGTAGAAGCGTTAGCCACTGAATCTGTTTGGTTACAGCTTCTCGAGGGCCGAGAAAAACTAATTTTGGGTGTGATTTACAGGGCCCCAAATCTTGATAGGGAGTGCAGTAAACTTCTATGGGACGAAATTCGTAAGGCATCTACATACGAAAATGTTGTGGTAATGGGAGATTTCAACTATAGACAGATTGACTGGAGCAATTTGACAGGAAATTTAGAGTCAGATGACTTTCTTGATACGATCCAGGATTGTTTTTTAAAACAGTTTGTGACAGAGCCAACTAGGGAAATAACCTCCTTGACTTGGTTCTTGCCAGTAGGGAAACACTAATTAATAATCTTGAGGTTAATGATGAGCTTGGGGAAAGTGATCACAAATCTCTCAGTTTTAATATATCATGGAATTCCCCTAATAATGGCAATCAAGTCTCCGTCCCTGACTTTCGCTTGGCTGATTTCATAGGACTGAAAAATTACTTAGGTGAGCTGAACTGGAATGACCTGACTAAGGGTCAGGTAGGTGGTGATGGTTGCCGATATGATGCTTTCCAGGGCATAGTTCTAGCTGCTCAGTCAAATTATGTTCCAAATAGGGAAATCAGATCAAACAAAAATGATCCTAAATGGATGAACAATAGATTAAAATATCTGATTGGTCAAAAAGAGAGGCATATATAGGCAAATCAAAAGAGGAGAGGGGCAGTTAAGAAATCGATATATTCAGTTAAAGAGAGAAATAAAAAAAGGGAATTAGAAAAGCAAAAAGAGATTATGAGGTTAAAGTTGCAAGAGAATCGAAGACCTAACCCAAAAGGATTCTTTCAGGTATACAGAAGTAAGATCAGGGACAAGATAGGCCCACTCAAAAGTTCCTCGGGTCAGCTCACTGACAGTGATAAGGAAATGTGTAGAATTTTTAACACATACTTCCTCTCAGTTTTTACACAGGAGGGATACCAGCGATATTCCAGAAATGATAAATTATGTGGAACAGGACGATAATAAACTGTGCACGATTAGGGTCACAAATGACATGGTCCTTAGGCAAATAGATAAATTAAAACCTAACAAATCCCCAGGCCCTGATGAACTGTATGCAAGGGTTCTAAAGGAATGTGAAGAGGAGCTTAGCAAACCTTTGGCTAATCTTTTCAACATATCACTATAAACTGGCATGGTGCCAGATAAGTGGAAAATGGCAAATGTGATACCTATTTTCAAAGCAGGTGACAGGTCCTTAGCTTCGAACTATAGACCAATAAGCCTAACCTCCATAGTGGGAAAATTTATGGAATCAATAATTGCCGAGGCAGTTCGTAGCCACCTTGAAAAGCATAAATTAATCAACGAATCTCAGCATGGTTTTACAAAGGGGCGTTCCTGCCTTACGAATTTATTAACTTTTTCACTAAGGTATTTGAGGAGGTAGATCATGGTAATGAATATGATATTGTGTATATGGACTTCAGTAAGGCTTTTGACAGGGTCCCACATCAGAGACTATTGAGGAAAATTAAGGCACATGGAATAGGAGGAGAAATTTTTTCCTGGATAGAGGCATGGTTGACAAATAGGCAGCAGAGAGTTTGCATAAATGGGGAGAGAAATCAGAGTGGGGAGACGTCACGAGCGGTGTTCCACAGGGGTCAGTGTTGGGCCCCCTGCTGTTCACAATCTACATAAACGACATAGATGAGGGCATAAAGAGCGACATCGGCAAGTTTGCCGATGACACCATAATAGGCCGTCGAATTCATTCTGACGAGGACATTAGAGCACTCCAGGAAGATTTGAATAGATGATGCAGTTGGTCGGAGAAGTGGCAGATGCAGTTTAATATAGACAAATGCAAAGTTCTAAATGTTGGACAGGACAATAACCATGCCACATATAAACTAAATAATGTAGATCTTAATATTACGGATTGCGAAAAAGATTTAGGAGTTCTGGTTAGCAGTAATCTGAAACAAGACAACAGTGCATAAGTGTTCGCAATAAAGCTAATAAAATCCTTGGCTTCATATCAAGAAGCATAAATAATAGGAGTCCTCAGGTTGTTCTTCAACTCTATACATCCTTGGTTAGGCCTCATTTAGATTATGCTGCACAGTTTTGGTCACCGTATTACAGAATGGATATAAATGCTCTGGAAAATGTACAAAGGAGGATGACCAAAGTTGATCCCATGTATCAGAAACCTTCCCTATGAGGATAGACTAAGGGCCCTGAATCTGCACTCTCTAGAAAGACGTAGAATTAGGGGGGATATGATTGAGGTGTATAAATGGAAGACAGGAATAAATAAAGGGGATGTAAATAGTGTGCTGAAAATATCTAGCCTAAACAGGACTCGCAGCAATGGTTTCAAGTTGGAAAAATTCAGATTCAGGAAGGATATAGGAAAGTACTGGTTTGGTAATAGAGTTGTGGATGAGTGGAACAAACTCCCAAGTACAGTTATAGAGGCCAGAACGTTGTGTTGTTTTAAAAATAGGTTGGATAAATACATGAGTGGATGTGGGTGGGTGTGAGTTGGACCTGATAGCTTGTGCTACCAGGTCGGTTGACGTGTTCCTCCCTTAAGTCAATGTGACCTGACCTGACTAGGTTGGGTGCATTGGCTAAAGCCGGTAGGAGACTTGGACCTGCCTCGCATGGGCCAGTAGGCCTGCTGCAGTGTTCCTTCGTTCTTATGTTCTTATGTTCTTATGTAACCCCCAATAATTCCTAATAGTTATAATTATAACCGTAATTATGGACCAGTAAGCCAGTGGAAGGCCTCGGTCAGATGACCAAATGTTCAAGTGGAGGGTCATCCTATGACTAGGACCCGCGTCAGGAAACACTTGTCCTGTTTCCTGACCTAACCTTAAACTGACATATTTGCCACACTTATCAACTCTTCCTTACTTTCTCTGATTGAAGAGGACACGTGATTGCTATTATCTTATACATGTCTACGTATATCTGATTTACATTTAGTGTATATTTAGCGAATATTAGGAGAATATTCTGTGTATATGATCTGGTGTATATCTATTGTATTATTAATCTTATGTTTAGTATGCATCTGGCATCTGGCATCTGGCATCTGGCATCTGGCATCTGGCATCTGGCATCTGGCATCTGGCTAAACCAGAAGAATGAACGTGATCTCAAACGAGCAAATATCGGGACTCATAACCCAAGAGAGAGAGAGAGAGAGAGGAAAAGAAGAGGAGAGAGAGAGAGAGTGAGGAGAGAGAGAGAGGAGAGAGAAGAGAGAGAGAGAGAGAGAGAGGAAGAGAGAGAGAGAGAGAGAGAGAGAGAGAGAGAGAGAGAGAGAGAGAGAGAGAGAGAGAGAGGAGAGAGAGACAGACAGACAGACAGACAGACAGACAGGAAAGAAAGAGCGAGAGGCAAACAGGAAAAGAGAAAGAGAAAGAAAGAGCTGATGTAGGTAACAGCTCTTAGCTTGTAAATAAGTTAGGAACCCTAACCTAACCTTGTAAAACCCTGTTTAAATAAAGAGGAGAGAGTGAGAGAGAGAGAGATGAGAGAGAGGACCCCCCGAGAGAGAGAGGAGAGAGATGAGAGAGAGAGAGATAGAAAACTGTGAATTAACTGGTCATTGGCTTAAAGAGTAATTTACCCAGTTGACTTAATATCTGGTGAGAGATCGAGGCTGAAGACGTGTGTTGGAGAGAGTACAACCTCAGGTCCTGGTTCAGGGTGTTAGGTATTCTCGTTAAGGGGATTCAGGGAATCTTGTCCCCGCCCCTCCCTGAACGTGAAGATGGGGGTGGGGGAATTCAGAACTTCAGGTACCTCCAGGTTATCAGAGTACTGGGGACCACAAAGGTGTTCCCAGTACACACTTTAAGGTGTTCCCAGTACTCAGTATTCATGAATGTTCCTCAAACATCAACACATTCTCATTTTAAGGTCATTTTCTTTTACATTTTATGCCCAACATTAATGTTTAAATGTTACCCATTTAGATTACGTTGGATTTCACTCGCCAGGAGTTCAAACCCCACCCGTTTCGTGGTTGGCTTTCCCACAGTGACAGAAACTCAGCCTCACTGATATTAATGCAAGAGGAATTAAAAAAAAATAAAGGGGACCGAAATTTGGTGGAAAATTATAAGTGAAGTCTCGCGGTTATAACGACATTTATGCGAAGGGCTAAACCCGCATGGGTTCACTCATCGGAAAGGCCCATCGGACAATAATTCTACCGTCCGCTGCTGAGAGCAGCATCCGCTCTCAGCGTCTGAGACTCTCTCTAACACTCTGAGATCAGAGTTATTGTCGGTGCCGGTCAGGCGGAGAATTTTTTTTTTTTTTTGTGATGTAGAGAAGACAAAAAACAGAAAAGAGTAAGAAAACTCTGGAATTTAATCTCATTGATGACTGATATTGTGTCTCACGTAATATTGTGTCTCACGTAATATTGTGTCTCACGTAACATTGTGTCTCACGTAATATTGTGTCTCACGTAATATTGTGTCTCACGTAACATTGTGTCTCACGTAACATTGTGTCTCACGTAATATTGTGTCTCACGTAATATTGTGTCTCACGTAACATTGTGTCTCACGTAATATTGTGTCTCACGTAATATTGTGTCTCACGTAACATTGTGTCTCACTAACATGTGTCTCACGTAATATTGTGTCTCACGTAATATTGTGTCTCACGTAACATTGTGTCTCACGTAACATTGTGTCTCACGTAACATTGTGTCTCACGTAATATTGTGTCTCACGTAATATTGTAACTTGTAAATTGGTATATTTATGTTTGTTAGGTAGATTATTGGTGTATAAATCCGACAAATGGATGAATAAGACACATGTGCAACACTTAGGTATCCTTAGTGTGGAGACATTTCGCCCACTAGTGGTTTTATCACTGCAGTGCGAAGAATACTCACTGGAGGCGGTGCAAGACGTCGGGAGGTGAGTTCAGCCTTGATAGGTGTTCAGAACCTGATAGGTGTTCAGAACCTGACAGGTGTTCAGTCTCTAAGTTTAGGTTGGGTGTGCTGGGTTATTGTCTGGTATAATACTGCATTTTCTCTGTCCGTAGGTGTGTTGGCTAGTGACGCTGGTGGTAACCCCGCTGTGACGGTTGTGCTGGAGGGTGACGGTGACCCAGCGGCACTCCTGCAGCTGCTGTGTGTGCCCTCACCCCGTCACACCCACCACCCACACCCGGCACACTCTTTCCCCCATCAGCCACACTACCCGGCCACCGCACGACAAACGCCTCCTGAATCCAGTCGAACTCCAACCGAAATATCAACCACTTTCTGTGGGATTCCACGAAAGAAGTAATCCATCAATCACCCTGTCACCTCCGCCGCAAGGAATCCAGAGGAGGGAGAGGGAAATGAAGGAGATGGTGAAGGAGGACAAGCCTGGGGGTATGGGGAAGGAGTGGGAAGTCGGAGTCAACAGCTCAGAGACCCAGCAGAGTGGAAACTTGCCTCCGGCAGCAGGCGGTGACGAAGACGATGACGGGGGAATGAGAGATAAGAAGGAACGCCGGAGAAGAAAGGTAGATAACAAAGATAGCACACGAGAACACAGGGCAAAGTTGATTCTCACGGGAAGATGTAATAATGCTGATAATGGCGAAGGAGGAGAGAAACGGGGATGCAAGGCAGGGAACAACGTCAGAGAAAGGAAGGCAAGCGAGAGACAGAGAGACTCTGAAAACGGAAGATGTCTTTTACCTAGTCTGCCTCCGGCGCCCAGACTGAGATTAACAGAGATCAAGGGTCTCTCAGCCAACACCGGCGAAGACTATAACGAACTCGCTCGACGTATTAGACAGAGAAAAAGGCCTCAGAACGAGGCAGCCTCAAGGGACGTAATGAAGCCGGGGTTGCCAGACTCCGACACAACACCAACAAATATTACCTGGAGCACCTGGCTGCCTCTCGCAGGAGGCGCTGACGAGGACCCAGGAGTGAAGGAACCTGGTTCAGAGGGCACGACCAGTCTGGCCTCCTGGCGGGTACTTTACCTACACCCAGACCTCAGGTGAGTCTTAACACTCGTGTATGTTCATAATATTTCTTTTAGAGTTTTTACTAATGTAAATTAATAATAATAATAATAATAATAATAATAATAATAATAATAATAATAATAATAATAATAATAATAAAAATAATAATAATAATAATAATAACAGACAGTATTTAGCTGCATTTACATATTTAAGTTATTACGTAAATTTACGAATATTAGTGGGTTGCGTAATCGAGACATTAATTCGTAAATTTTGAGCCAATAAAAAAAAACCTATTTTCTTCGTAAATTAAGATCAAGCGTAGCCTAATGTAGACTTTAAAGGTAAATTCTAAGTTAGATTATTTTATTTTATGGTAAACAAAGAAAGCTTCGCAACCATAGATCCCAAGATACAACATCTCACAGCTCATTTAATGTGGTAGCAGATCTATAATACAATTCTGAGTGAGTATGTAACTAATGAACGAAAGATCCTCCCTTACCCCCGAGGCCTGGTTATGGACAGGGCCGAGGGGGCGTTGACCCCAAAACCCCCTAAAGGTATAATCCAGGTAAAACGCTTTTTTTTTCAATATTCCCCAGAAAATAGTGATGTCCGTCTCAAATCCTACGAAATTTTACTCCCAGTAAACCATAGATTATCAACCAGTTCAGCCGAGGAGGTGAAAACAATATTAATGCAATTGATGCACTGTTGAACATAAATATAAAAACGTAAGCTACGGGGCGAAACGTTGTCTCACTAAAACCTTGTCTGACTTTACATTTACATAATTTGTGCACTATTATTATTATTTAAAAAAAAAGTCTATCGACTGCCGACGGGTCATAAAAAACACAGCTGACCTGAATATTAACGTCAAGAACACATTAATAATAACATGAAAGTAAGGTTAAAGCCAACTTCCTGATGTACAGTTATGTACACTAAGAGATACACATCTCTGACTCCATACACACACAGATATACACATCTGTATACACGCTGAGATTTACACAACCCTGTGTGTATGTGCACAGGATGATACACCTGAGTGTATATACGCATATCTCTGGATGTATATACACTGATACATACATATATATATATATATATATATATATATATAATATATATATATATATATATATATATATATATATAGTAGGTTGGTAGACAGTAACCCCAGGGAAGTACTACCGTCTGCCAGATGACTGTGAAACAGAAACCTGTAACTGTTTTTGCATGATGGTAGGATTGCTGGTTTCTTTTTCTGTCTCATAAACACGCTAGATAACAGGGATATCTTGCTACTCCTACTTACACCTTGGTCACACTTCACAGACATGCACATATATATATATATATATATATATATATTATATATATATATATATATATATAATATATATATATTATATAATATTATATATATATATATATATATATTTATATATATATATATTATATATATACATAACATCTAGGTTTTTCTCATTTTTCTAAATAGCTCTTGTTCTTCTTTATTTCTTCTATTGTCCATGGGGAAGTGGAAAAGAATCTTTCCTCCGTAAGCCATGCGTGTCGTATGAGGCGACTAAAATGCCGGGAGCAATGGGCTAGTAACCCCTTCTCCTGTAGACATTTACTAAAAAAGAGAAGAAGAAAAACTTTATAAAACTGGGATGCTTGAATGTGCGTGGATGTAGTGCGGATGACAAGAAAACAGATGATTGCTGATGTTATGAATGAAAAGAAGTTGGATGTCCTGGCCCTAAGCGAAACAAAGCTGAAGGGGGTAGGGGAGTTTCGGTGGGGGAAAATAAATGGGATTAAATCTGGAGTGTCTGAGAGAGTTAGAGCAAAGGAAGGGGTAGCAGTAATGTTGAAGGATCAGTTATGGAAGGAGAAAAGAGAATGTGAATGTGTAAATTCAAGAATTATGTGGATTAAAGTAAAGGTTGGATGCGAAAAATGGGTCATAATAAGCGTGTATGCACCGGGAGAAGAGAGGAATGCAGAGAGAGAGAAATTTTGGGAGATGTTAAGTGAATGTATAGGAGCCTTTGAACCAAGTGAGAGAGTAATTGTGGTAGGGGACCTGAATGCTAAAGTAGGAGAAACTTTTAGAGAGGGTGTGGTAGGTAAGTTTGGGGTGCCAGGTGTAAATGATAATGGGAGCCCTTTGATTGAACTTTGTATAGAAAGGGGTTTAGTTATAGGTAATACATATTTTAAGAAAAAGAGGATAAATAAGTATACAAGATATGATGTAGGGCGAAATGACAGTAGTTTGTTGGATTATGTATTGGTAGATAAAAGACTGTTGAGTAGACTTCAGGATGTACATGTTTATAGAGGGGCCACATATAATCAGATCACTTTCTAGTTGTAGCTACACTGAGAGTAAAAGGTAGATGGGATACAAGGAGAATAGAAGCATCAGGGGAAGAGAGAGGTGAAGGTTTATAAACTAAAAGAGGAGGCAGTTAGGGTAAGATATAAACAGCTATTGGAGGATAGATGGGCTAATGAGAGCATAGGCAATGGGGTCGAAGAGGTATGGGGTAGGTTTAAAAATGTAGTGTTAGAGTGTTCAGCAGAAGTTTGTGGTTACAGGAAAGTGGGTGCGGGAGGGAAGAGGAGCGATTGGTGGAATGATGATGTAAAGAGAGTAGTAAGGGAGAAAAAGTTAGCATATGAGAAGTTTTTACAAAGTAGAAGTGATGCAAGGAGGGAAGAGTATATGGAGAAAAAGAGAGAGGTTAAGAGAGTGGTGAAGCAATGTAAAAAGAGAGCAAATGAGAGAGTGGGTGAGATGTTATCAACAAATTTTGTTGAAAATAAGAAAAAGTTTTGGAGTGAGATTAACAAGTTAAGGAAGCCTAGAGAACAAATGGATTTGTCAGTTAAAAATAGGAGAGGAGTGTTATTAAATGGAGAGTTGGAGGTATTGGGAAGATGGAGGGAATATTTTGAGGAATTGTTAAATGATGATGAAGATAGGGAAGCTGTGATTTCGTGTATAGGGCAAGGAGAAATAACATCTAGTAGGAGTGAGGAAGAGCCAGTTGTGAGTGTGGGGAAAGTTCGTGAAGCAGTAGGTAAAATGAAAGGGGGTAAAGCAGCTGGGATTGATGGGATAAAGACAGAAATGTTAAAAGCAGGTGGGGATATAGTTTTGGAGTGGTTGGTGCAATTATTTAATAAATGTATGGAAGAGGGTAAGGTACCTAGGGATTGGCAGAGAGCATGCATAGTTCCTTTGTATAAAGGCAAAGGGGACAAAAGAGAGTGCAAAAATTATAGGGGGATAAGTCTGTTGAGTATACCTGGTAAAGTGTATGGTAGAGTTATTATTGAAAGAATTAAGAGTAAGACGGAGAATAGGATAGCAGATGAACAAGGAGGCTTTAGGAAAGGTAGGGGGTGTGTGGACCAGGTGTTTACAGTGAAACATATAAATGAACAGTATTTAGATAAGGCTAAAGAGGTCTTTGTGGCATTTATGGATTTGGAAAAGGCGTATGACAGGGTGGATAGGGGGGCAATGTGGCAGATGTTGCAGGTGTATGGTGTAGGAGGTAGGTTACTGAAAGCAGTGAAGAGTTTTTACGAGGATAGTGAGGCTCAAGTTAGATTATGTAGGAAAGAGGGAAATTATTTCCCAGTAAAAGTAGGCCTTAGACAAGGATGTGTGATGTCACCGTGGTTGTATAATGTATTTATAGATTGGGTTGTAAGAGAAGTAAATGCGAGGGTCTTGGCAAGAGGCGTGGAGTTAAAAGATAAAGAATCACACATAAAGTGGGAGTTGTCACAGTTGCTCTTTGCTGATGACACTGTGCTCTTGGGAGATTCTGAAGAGAAGTTGCAGAGATTGGTGGATGAATTTTGTAGGGTATGCAAAAGAAGAAAATTAAAAGTGAATACAGGAAAGAGTAAGGTTATGAGGATAACAAAAAGATTAGGTGATGAAAGATTGGATATCAGATTGGAGGGAGAGAGTATGGAGGAGGTGAATGTATTCAGATATTTGCGAGTGGACGTGTCAGCGGATGGGTCTATGAAAGATGAGGTGAATCATAGAATTGATGAGGGGAAAAGGGTGAGTGGTGCACTTAAGAGTCTGTGGAGACAAAGAACTTTGTCCATGGAGGCAAAGAGGGGAATGTATGAGAGTATAGTTTTACCAACGCTCTTATATGGGTGTGAAGCATGGGTGATGAATGTTGCAGCGAGGAGAAGGCTGGAGGCAGTGGAGATGTCATGTCTGAGAGCAATGTGTGGTGTGAATATAATGCAGAGATTCGTGTTTGGAAGTTAGGAGGAGGTTGCGGGATTACCAAAACTGTTGTCCAGAGGGCTGAGGAAGGGTTGTTGAGGTGGTTCGGACATGTAGAGAGAATGGAGCGAAACAGAGTGACTTCAAGAGTGTACTCAGTCTGTAGTGGAAGGAAGGCGGGGTAGGGGTCGGCCTAGGAAAGGTTGGAGGGAGGGGGGTAAAGGAGGTTTTGTGTGCGAGGGGCTTGGTCTTCCAGCAGGCATGCGTGAGCGTGTTTGATAGGAGTGAATGGAGACAAATGGTTTTTAATACTTGACGTGCTGTTGGTGTGTGAGCAAAGTAACATTTATGAAGGGGATTCAGGGAAACCGGCAGGCCGGACTTGAGTCCTGGAGATGGGAGTACAGTCCCTGCCTCTGAAGGAGGGGTGTTATAATGTTGCAGTTTAAAAACTGTAAGTGTAAAGTACCCTTCTGGCAAGACAGTGATGGGAGTGAATGATGGTGAAAGTTTTTCTTTTTCGGGCCACCCTGCCTTGGGTGTGAATCGGCCAGTGTGATTTATATATATTATATATTTTATTTATATATATATATATATATATATATTATTATTTAATATCATATATATATATATATATATATATATATATATATATATATATATTATTATATTATATATATTATATATATATATATTATACATGTATGCACTTTGGGAGTGTGTATACGCACAAAAATAGCAATACTTAAAAAAAGACTGAAATCTGAAAAAAAGTATATACAAATTAATATATATAAATTAATAAAAGGCTATAATCAAGTAATAATAGTAGTAAATAACTACTACTACTATACTATACTTACAACTACATAACTAATACTAACTAATAATAATAATAATAATATAAAATAAAAAATAATATAATAATAATAATAATAAGAATAATAAGATAAAGAAGAAGAAGAAGAAGAAGAAGAAGAAGAAGAAGAAGAAGAAGGATTTACATACTATTCTGAAATACAAGATTAAAGAGGGTTCATTTAATCGATTTGTACTTCATTAATTGAAATCTTTATAATTTAAGGGACATATATCTCTGTGTATATACATTGAAATACACACACACACACACACCACACGTACACACACACACACACACACACACCGTGCACACACACACACACACACACACACACACTCACACACACACACACACACACCACACACACACACACAAACACACACACACACCACCACACACACACACGTACACACACACACACACACACACTCACAAGCACCTATAGCACTCACACGAATAAGCACTTACAAGTACACGCACAGACACTGACGCATGCACGCACACACACATGCACGCACACAACACAGCTCGGCGAGTACAGAGTTCAGTGGAATTTTTAAAAAACATGAAGCATTAGGAAGATAGCGACGTCTTCAATATTTTAACGTCAATGAAAGTTGTTGGTGCACCTGTGCAAGACTGCTAATGACATGGCAATGTTGGCAAGACAACCCGATGATGGGGGTGAGAGGGAGAGAGGAAGTAAGGAGGGAGGGAACGCAGGTAAAGCTGAGGAACAGGGAGAGAAGGGATGAAGAGGAAGATGTTTAACATACATGAGGAAGAATGAACTTTGTTCATTTTTTTAAAGAATTATGAACCTAATGATGTGAGGTATATCTGGTACAATGATGTGAGGTATATCTGGTACAATGATGTGAGGTATATGTGGTACAATGATGTGAGGTATATCTGGTACAATGCTGTTTGTTGTCACCGTTCAACCTAGTTGAGTGGTAACAACAGACGCGTGTGTCTGTGGTCACACGCGTCTGTGAATCAGTTCTTAAGTGAATATACCGGTAAACGATACAAAAATTGTTTGTTGCTGTTGCAGTGTGAGCGTGAGGGGACCTAGACTGATGCTGCGACCTTCTAGCGACCACCTCCTCCCGTCTTCCCCCGTCCTCGTTTTTCATCCCGCTTCCCCTTCCTTTCCTCGCTCCTCTGTCCCATATCGCAGGACGTCCTCCTTCCGTCCTCACACTGGCGCCTCCAGCCTCTTCATCACCTTCCCGGCTCTCCTCGCTGCCTCCAATTCCTCTCGTTTCTTCCCGTCTTCTGCTGCCTCATCTCCCCCCCCACGTCTACCCTCAACCCAGTCCCCGTCTATCCCTTCCAGTGAATCTTCTTCCTGTTCTTCACATCCCTTTTCCCTCCATCCCATTCCTCAACTCTCAAGCGTGTCACCTGCGCCATCACCACGCCCTCTGATTTCATTACCACGCCTTCTCACTCCATTACCACGCCTCCTCACACCATTACCACGCCCCCTGACACCTTTATCAAGCCTCCACGCCTCATTACCACTCCTTCTTCGCTCGCCACCACGCCCTGGGGCATCGCCACTCGTCAGGGGCACCCTGGCGCCAGGCCTAAACATACCCGAGGGAGGAAGACCAGACGCCCTGGCTGTTGTACAGTGCCTACCCCCAGGAGGGGGACCAGCAACCACTGCCTACGTCTTGCCAGGTACAGTGCCACCTTGTTGTTTCTTTCCAGCAGACACCCACATGTTGTGTGACTATTTTGTAGGCGCCCTCATGTTGTGTGTCCATCTTGTAGGCACCCACATGTTGTGTGTCCAAACTGTAGGCACCCACATGTTGTGTGTCCAGATTGTAAGCACCCACATGTTGTGTGAACAGGCTGTAGGCACCCACATGTTGTGTGTCCAGCTTGTAGGCACCGACATGTTATGTGTCCAGCTTGTAGGCACCGACATGTTATGTGTCCAGCTTGTAGGCACCGACATGTTATGTGTCCAGCTTGTAGGCACCCACATGTTAATAATAACAGACTGGTTATTGAACGTGTGTTTACATTGTCTGCTACATTTTTCCACTTAATATTTCAAGATCTACTCACAATAAAAAATGAAATTTTTTTATATTTTGTATGTTATTAACTTTGAAGCCGTGAGTGAGTCTGTTCAGCAGCGCTGCAGAACAGTTGTTCAGCAGTTAGAAGACGGGCTATAAGGTCGCCCGAGACGTTCTGCATAAGCAGAGGTTGTCTGCTAAACAGGTTAAATATGTCTGCTCAGCCCATATCAGTTGCGTTATGCTTTTTATGGAAATAAAGTTGACTTTGTCATTGAACGTTCTGTTAAAGAGATATCTCTGCCACACCCTGTCACACACACACACACACACACACACACACACACACACACACACACACACTGCTGCAACACACACACACACACACACACACACACACACACACACACACACACACACACACACACACACACACACACACACACACACACACACACACCAACTGCTGCAAGACTCGCAGCAAGATTACTGAGTTGTGGGTAAACTTGCGTCCGCTGATATTTTACGAGCGTCCGGTAGGTGCAGTAAAAATTGGGGAAGATAATCCAAGGTGGTAACAATGTCGAAGTCCAGCCAGTGATGGCGTGCAGCACCGCCCACACACGCCCTCCCACATACGCCCATCCACACCCCCGTCCACACACGCCTTCAATATGTCTCTCTTCTCCCATCCCTCGCCTTCGACTCCTACTTTTCGATTCATTTTCCTGTTCTTTCGTTGTTCGCTTTAGGACAGACGACGTGTGAGCCCAGATTACTGCCTTCGATTTAAACACTTATGAAAAAATATTGAAATATTTAAAAAAAATAAAGGCAGCTAAGATATTTGTACGTAAAAATGAACGACCAAAAAATGTCCATCAGCCTTTAAAACACACGAGCGTTCGTAATTCTGTAAAATCCCATTTTTTGGAATTAAAAATTCAAAAGAGAATTAGTACATAGGATGCAAACATTTTTTTATGTTATTACAAGTCAATGTTCAATTAATAACTAAGCTACGGAAGCGGCTTATAAATGACCAGTTGATAAGACACAAACAACCCGCACCTGGGAGACAGAGAAGCTTACGACGACGTTTCGGTCCGACCTGGATCCTTTACAAAGTCACAATGACACAAAAGAGTGAAGTTAGTTTAGGTCAAGTTCGTCAGGAAACAGGACAAGTGTCTCCTGACTCGAGTTGGAGCTTTTGGTCATCTGACCGAGACCTTCCGCTGGCTTACCGATTCACCCCATTAAAAATTATGGTCACAGTTATAACCATTTTTAACGTGTGCCACAAAAGAATGAGGGAGCCAGTATATATAGACGAGGGGGACAGGGACGGGACCAAGAGAGGAAGAAGAAGAAGCAGTAGTGGTGGTAATGCTGGTAGTGAAGTAGTAGTAGTAGTAGTAGTAGTAGTAGTAGTAGTAGTAGTAGTAGTAGTAGTAGTAGTAGTAGTGGTAGTGGTAGTCGTAGTAGTAGTAGTGGTAGTGGTAGTAGTGGTAGTGGTAGTAGTAGTAGTAGTAGTAGTGGTAGTAGTAGTAGTAGTAGTAGTAGTGGTGGTGGTAGTGGTAGTGGTAGTGGTATTAGTGGTAGTGGTAGTAGTAGTAGTAGTAGTAGTAGTATAGTAGTGGTGGTAGCAGAAAGTAGGGGGAGCAGTTTAGTGCGGGTTATCTGTGTATTGTTCAAGTTATGGTATTATGCTTTCTTCTTCTTGATAAGACACATGTGCAACACCTATTTATCCTTATCGTCAATGATGATACCTAAGTGTCGCCCATGTGTCTTGCTTATTAGAAGGAATAACCGCGAGTGCGTATATGTGTACACTTACCTCTATGTGGTTACCGGGGTTGACTTATAGCTCCTGACCCGCCTCTTCGCTGGTCGCTATTAGGTCTACTTTCTCCAGGCTTAAAAAGGCTTATCGTGTGTGTGTGTAAAGAGAGAGACTATAATTCAGTCAGGGGTAAAAATGCTGTATTTCCTGCAGGAAAGAAATCATTTCCTTCTACCATCTTGTTTATTACGTTATTTATACTTTTTATTTAAAAAGATTTCTTGGAGTAAGTTTTGTGCCCCAGAGTGTTAATGTTTGATCCTCTCAGTGTTCCTTGTGTTACCTTGTCTCGTGTATCAGGCGCTGTCTACTGTCTCGTGCATCAGGCGCTGTCTACTGTCTCGTGCATCAGGCGCTGTCTACTGTCTCGTGCATCAGGCACTGTCTACTGTCTTGTGCATCAGGCACTGTCTACTGTCTCGTGCATCAGGCGCTGTCTACTGTCTCGTGCATCAGGCACTGTCTACTGTCTCGTGTATCAGGCACTGTCTACTGTCTCGTGCATCAGGCACTGTCTACTGTCTCGTGTATCAGACACTGTCTACTGTCTCGTGCATCGGGCAGTGTCTACTGTCTCGTGTATCAGGCACAGTCATCTGTCTCGTGTCAGATACTATGCCATTCCCTATCTCGTGTATCAGGTATTGGAACGTTTCCTGTCTCGTGTATCTGGCACTGTGTCATTCTCGGCCTCGTATTTTCCTTTCAGTGAATGGAACATGCAGTATTCACTGTTATCAAAGATGTTAACACAAGCGCCACATTAGGAGAAACCGTCACGTTACGCTGTTGTTTCCCCTCGCTATTATTTCTGTAAACAAACAGAAACATAGAGCAGTGTGCTGCTACTCTGTTTTGTATAACAGTTGCGCAGTAGGGAGAAATACTGTATTTTCCTGTTATTTTCTGTCGCACAAGATTAGACTCATAAAAGGTGCTTAAATGTGTTAGTCTGAGCTGGAGACTTCAATGAGGATATTGTCAAGTATTCCATTATAGGTTCGTCAGCTACGGCAGCTTCAAAGGATTTCTTCCAGAATAGCTGGAGTTACTATCACTTGAGAATACTTATCTCTTGGGACAGCCTATCTCATCAGGAGGAGGAGATGAATTAGTTGGGAGAGATGGGAAGGACAGGCGTAGATGATGAGATAAGGAGAGGCAGAGGAGGGATAGCACCGTCTTATCAGCTTGACTGTTATCCCACCGACACTTTGTTGACAACAAGTTCTCCTGACATCTTAATGAGTAGTTCCTATCACATGTCACTTTTTTCTTAAATACCAACAAAGGGGATAAATAGAAGACTTCCTTCGCATTCTGTAATGATAAAACATAACTAGATTTATGGACTACAGAAGATATAAGCAAAGACAGCCACCCACTCACACAAGACGCTTACTTTCAACAGTCACCACTCACGTACTCAAGTCAAGTAGCACAGTCTCTCACCACACATGATCATCACTCAGTATCATCAGTTAACGCCAACAGGAACGAGGAACGAGGACACAGAACTGCTGACTACACCATCCTTTATGAGAGATACACTAGACTTAATGTAGGAGACACCTCGTAAGATATTAACGCAAGGTAGGTAGGTAATATCTTCAGGAAACAGGAAGAGTGTTTCCTGACGCGGGGTTTAGTCATGTGATGACCCGCAGCTCTAGTTTTTGGTTATCTGACCGAAACCTTCCGCTGGCTTACACCTCCACCCCCTTTAAAATTATGGTTATGATTATAACCAATGAGATTATTTAACAAGAATTCACGAATATTAACAATGTTTGGTGTACACACAACACTCACAATGTTTGATGTACACACAACACTCACAATGTTTGATGTACACACAACACTCACAATGGTTGGTGTACACACAACACTCACAATGTTTGGTGTACACATCAAACTCCAATGTTGATGTACACACAACACTCACAATGGTTGGTGTACACACAACACTCACAATGTTTGGTGTACACACAACACTCACAATGTTTGGTGTACACACAACACTCACAATGTTTGATGTACACACAACACTCACAATGTTTGGTGTACACACAACACTCACAATGTTTGGTGTACACACAACACTCACAATGTTTGGTGTACACACAACACTCACAATGTTTGGTGTACACACAACACTCACAATGTTTGGTGTACACACAACACTCACAATGTTTGATGTACACACAACACTCACAATGTTTGGTGTACACACAACACTCACAATGTTTGGTGTACACACAACACTCACAATACACGTGGAATCCACAAGGATGAACATGTTCACACTATGGCTTGGTACAACACAAATATAATCGTTGTTTACACTACAAGCGCACACAGCACCTAGGGGTCGGGAGCTAGCCAGGTCTGAACCAAGCAAGAGAAGGGTCGCCCTAAGGGACGCTTGATGCATCCCTCCCCCTAACACCACCCTTAACACTGACTTCATGCGATGAACGGTGGGTATCCGTCAGTGTAGTTGACAAGCTTTACAACTCCATTAACCAAGCACCCTTAAAACTCCATTAACCAAGTACCCTTAACATCACTGTTACCACACTCATTATCACCATTAACCCAACACATAGAGACACCTGTTCCTCCCTGCATGATATGAAACACAGGCTGAGAGATCATGATAACTGAGTTACCATGATAACTGAGAGGTTATAATAACTAAGAGACCATGATAACTTAGAAACCGTGATAACTGACGGACCGTGGTAACTGAGACCGTGATAATCGAGAGAATGATAAGTGATAGACCGTGATAACTAAGA